TTGGGAGGCTGAGTCAGGTGGATCTTTGTGAATTCATGGTCAGCCTGCCTGGTCTCAAAAGTACTAAAAAAAATGAAAAGACATAGTCTTGAGACTGGCTTTGTGGTGCACGTCTGCCACCCTGGCACTGGGAAGACCGAGGCAGGGGGATTCCTGAGAGGTCCAGGCCAGTGCGGGCTACAGAGCTAGACATCATCTTGAAAAGGTAAAAGCAACATGGATTTTCCCTGAATGACCATTGAGGTTTTCACTGAGGTTTGAAAAGTGACACTTTGGGGTTAGAGAGACCGTTCAGCAGTTAAGAGCACTGGCTGCTCTTGCAGAGGACTCAGGTTCAGGTCCCAGCACCCACATGATTTGCAGGTCACAGATGGCTAACAACCATCTACAACTCCAGTTCCAGGGGATCTGATGCCCTTTTTTGACCTCTGCAGGCACTACATGACACAGGGGCACTTACATACATGCAGGCATATACATATACACAAAATAAATTAATATTTTTAAAAAAACAATAGGAGAGTCCCCCCTAGGGCCAGTGACCTCCCCAGCCTTTGGCTTTTGACCAGGCTTACAATACCAGTCAGGACTCAAATCCAGTCAGAAAGATGGTGGTTGCCACCATAACAATCATGACACCATTGCACCAATGCGCACATCTTTCTTTTCAAAATTTGTTTAAAAATATTTTATCTTGGGGCTGGAGAGATGGTTCAGAGGTTAAGAACACTGGTTGTTCTTGCAAAAGACAGGGGGTTGAATCCCAGCCGCCACATGGCAGCTAACAACTGTCAGCAACTCCAGTTCCAGGGGATCTGAGGGCCTCTTCTGTCCTTCATAGGCATTGCACAACACGGGTGCACTTAGCTACATGTAGGTAATACACTCATACACATAAAATAAAAATAATAAAATCTTTTTTGGGGGGGGGTATTTTTGAGACACAGTCTCCCTGTAGCCCCAGCTGGCCTGGAACTCAATAATAAAATCTTTTAAAAAATATTTTATCTTGGGGGCTGGAGAGATGGCTCAGCCGTTAAAAACACTGACTGCTCTTGCAGAGGACCTGGGTTCGATTCCCAGCACCCACATGACGGCTACGAACTGTTCTTAACTCCAGTTCCAGGGGAATCCAAAGCCCTCTTCTGACCTCTGCAGCATTGCATGACACAGGTGCACTCACATACATGCTGGCAATACTCATACACATAAAATAAAAATAATAAAATATTTTTAAAAATACATACATTTTAGCCAGGCGTGGTGGTGCATGACTTTAATCCCCGCACTTGGGAGGCAGAGGCAGGCGGATCTCTGTGAGTTCAAGGCCAGCCTGGTCTACATAGTGAGTTCCAGGACAGCTGGGGCTACAGGGAGACCCTGTCTCAAAAAGACCAAAAAAAAAAAAGTTATATTTATATATATATATATATGCACTTTTTCTTATGTGTATGAGTGGTTGCATGTAAACGCATCACATGCATGTAATGCCCACAGAAGTCAGAAGAGGACAATCAGACCCCCGGGAACTGGAGTTACAGACAGTTGTTAGCTGCTATGTGGGTGCTGGGAACCAAACCCAGGTCCTCTGCAAGAGCAGCCAGTGCTCTTCACTGCTAAGCTGGCTCTCTTGCAGTGGGCGTGTCCTGTCTGGCATGTTGGGGAAGACCATTGATGTCTTTTCTCCCACTGTGGCCTGCATAGCTCCTTGAAGAACGATGAAGGCTAGCCATCAGAGAGGAAGCTTCCGGGTCAGATGCAGCGGATTTCTCTGTGTCCTGCAAGCTGAAGTGGTATGCACAGTGTAGGTACACATATCAACAAAATTTATTTTCCTAGGGAAACATAGTGGCTTCCTGCTAAATCTTTCAGAGACCCTGAGAGCCATGTGTTTTTCCCATTTTAAAGGCAAGGAAACTGAGGCTCAGAAGAGTTCAGTGGCTTTCCTTGGTCTATCATGTTCTAGCTATTTAAACTAGAGGGAACTGTATAATCTGTCTGGGCTTTAGTTTCCTATTAGTAATCTGGAGATTAAATTGGTCTTGTCTCGTAGGGCTACTAAGGGTATTTAGTGAGATAATATGGGGCTCCAGGCATAACTTAGCAGTAGAATCCGCTGCCTAGAATCCCCAGTGAGGGGCTGGGGGCGTGGCTCAAGGTAGAGTGACAGCCTAGAGTCCTCAGAGAGGGGCTGGGGGCGTGGCTCAGGGTAGAGTGACAGCCTAGAGTCCTCAGAGAGGGGCTGGGGGCGTGGCTCAGAGGTAGAGTGTCTCTCCAGCTTGTGTGGGGCCTTGGTTCCTAGCACCACACATACAAAATTCTTTTTTTAAAAAAAATATTTTATTTATGTATTTATTTATTTTTATGTGTTTGAGTGTTATGCCTGCATTGTAGGTTAAGTGCACCCGTGTCGCACAATGCCCGCAGAGGACAGAAGAGGCCATCGTATCCCCTGGAACTGGAGTTATGGACAGTTATTAGCTGCCATATGGGTTCTGGGAACAGAACCTGGGTCCTCTGCAAGAGCAGCCAGTGCTCTTAACTGCTGAGCCATTTCTCCAGCCCCATATACACAAAATTCTTGCACAACAGAGAATTTAAAGGTGGCTGTGGTAGTACGTGGTTGTCTTCCCAGCACTTGGAAGCCTGAGGCAGGAGGATGGCATGTTTGAATCCATCTTGGGCTACATAAGTGAGACTCTTGCTTCCACTCAGACAGGCTGGCACTTATGAGCAGCTGGTAAAATGAGCCTTCCTTGTGATTTGTGTAAGGTGCCCTTGAAGTTCAAGACTAGTTGCTAAAGGGTCTAAGAGACAGCTCAGCAGGTAAAGGGGCTTGCTGCCAAGACTGAGGGCCTGAATTTGATCCCTGGGATCCATATAGTGGAAGGAGAGAACTGACTTCTGCAAGTTGTCTTCTGATCTCCACAGGCACACACTATACAGACAACAGAAAACAAACCCATAAATGGAATTTAAAACAAAGATTAGCTTCTGCAAGCTCTTTACCTTCTGCTCACTGAGCAAAAGCTCTGTGGTTGGAATAGTTGGTTATCAACCTCCTGTTTGAATTACTAGAGAATAAGCTGAGGATCAGAGATGTGAGTTCACATGCCCAATGACACACAGCTCAGGGTGTGACAAACTTCGAAGTCCAACCCAAGCTTATGAGACTTAGAATTCTCCTGCCTCAACCCACCACAGCCCTCTTCGTAGAAGACTGAAGAACTCCAAATATGGCTACCCCTAGGCTCCGTCTCTAATAGGTGACCTCTGGTGAAAAATGTCTGGCCCAGCAAAAACAGCTTCCTTTCAACCAGACTGTACATCAAATAGATTTGAATATGAGGTCCCCAAAGGACATTTCCATAGGGCACAGTGCCCTAGCCTTGCGGTGCTCAAGGGATCAAGCCGAACTCCCCAGGACTGGCCTCAGGCTGCTCCAAATATGGAAATATTTATCTGGGGCTTTCGGACAATCATGTCTATTGGTTAAGAGTTGAAATGTGGGGTTGGAGAGCTGGCTCAGTGGTTAAGAGCACTGGCTGCTCTTGCAGAAGACCCAGGTTCTGTTCCCAGCACCCACATGGCAGCTAACAACTGTCCATAAGTCCAGTTCCAGGTTATCCGACACCTTCTTCTGACTTATGAGGGCATTGCACAACACGGGTGCACTCACACACATGCAGCCAATAGAGCAATGCCGCGGAGATCAGAAGAGGGCTTTGGATTCCCCTGGAACTGGAGTTAAGGACAGTTCTTGACCACCATGTGGGTGCTGGGGATTTAACCCAGATCCTCTGCAAGAGCAGCCAGTGCTCTTAAACGCTGAGCCACCTCTCCAGCCCCTAAAATATTTTTTTAAAGAGTTGAATGCTGGGGGTGGTGGCGTGCACCTTTAATCCCAGCTCTCGGGAGGCAGAGGCAGGTGAATCTCTGTGAGATCCAGGCCAGCCTGGTTCATATGGGACTTCCAGGTGGGCTGTGATTAGGGAGACCCTGTCACAACAATCAACAACAAAAAAAGAGTTGAAATGTGAACTCAGAGTGGGGATGCAAGCCAGTCACCCCAGCACTTGGGAAGCTGAAACAGGAGGATTGCTAGTTCCAGGCCAGCCTGAGCTACATATGGAGACCCTGTCTTAGAATAGCAAAAAATCTTTTTAGTGGGCATGGTGGTGTACGCCTTTAATTCCAGCACTCAGGAGGCAGAGGCAGACAGTTTTCTGTGAGATTGGGGCCAGCATGGTCTACATAACAAGTTCCAGGCCACCTAGGGTTCAAGGATACCATATCTCAAAAATTTTTTTCAAGCTTTAAACTTTACTCATTTTTATTGTTTTGCATATGTTAATAGACTTATTTTGTTATTACTGCTGTCACTTGTTTATATTTTTTAAATTAATTAATCTTTGGGTTTTGTAGATAGGCTGGCCTCAAACACAGAGCTCTATCTCCCTCTGTCTCTGGGATTAAAGGCTTGCACTACCACACCCAGCTGTTTATTGATTGATTGATTTAGGTTTTTTGAGACAGGGGTTCACTATGTATTCCTCACTGTCCTGGAACTCCCTATGTGTAGCAGCCTGGTCTTGAAGTCACAGAAATCCTCTGCCTCCTAGCACTAGGATTAAAGGCCTCCACCGCCACACCCAGTTTTAGGTGGTGCTGGGGATTGAACCCAGGACTCCTGAGTGCTAGGTGTGCTCTGGCCGCTAAGCCCCAGCCCCAGCCCTCTCATTATTATAGTAAGAAGATGATCACTATCCTCAAGTCTTACTCCTGAATTGCCAGCTTGGGTCACCAAGCCTGAGTACTACCTCCCCCACAACGGCTGCCCAGGGCGGCCTGGGTGTCATATAGTCTATCTGCCAGGCTCCCCTGGTGCAATACGGGAGCCACCCAGCAGGTTTTTCCTCTCAGCTTGCTGTGGGGCCTTGAGCTGTCCTCTCCCCATCTCACTGGGCTGGGCACTCCTGGGCTCACTTACGCTGCCAGGCACAGGTGGAAGGAAGGATGCCCAGCATCTTCGCCTATCAGAGCTCTGAGGTGGACTGGTGTGAGAGTAACTTCCAGCACTCAGAGCTGGTGGCTGAGTTCTACAACACGGTGGGTGAGGGACCAGGCGGTGACACCCTGCGGGAGACTTTGGAAAGGGTGGGTGGGGCAGGCTCAGGCACACATGGATTTAAAAGTCACCTCCTCCATAGGGAATCTTGTTGGAGCAGTTTACTATTTGGGGCTTGGTGGATCTGTTTTTGTTCATTCATTCATCTTTGTATTGAACTGAGTTCTATGGCAGATTTTACATACACACCTGGGGGGATGGTGCTGTGACAGGGGTACACTGGCAGCCTTGAGGACACCCAGAGGACAGTAGAGGAAGATGTGTGCACTTGCTGTTGCTGACTGGAGCACAGAGCCCACTGGGCAGGACTGCTTAGCCAACAGGGAATGTATTTGCTTTTCAGAGACAGGTTCTCATTGTGTAGTGCAGGCTGGTTTGCAATTTATATTCTCTGGTTTCTGCTTACCGAGTGCTGGGATTGTAAGCATGCATCCACCACACCCAATACTAACTTTTATCGACTGCTTGCTGTGTGCCAATGGTACGAAACCTTTTACCTCCACAACCTCATCTAATCCATACAGCGACACTGGGAGACGTGCCAGTTGAGGGGGTATCACACTCTGCAGCAGGTGTTCTGGGAGGATGAATGATAGACTGGGAATTTACCTTGGAGATTATAGTCAGACTCTGATTTTAAACTAGGCAAGTGTGAGACCTGTGTGTGTGTGTGTCTGTCTGTCTGTCTTTTCTTGAGACTCAAAAATGTGTGATGGGTTGGTGAGAAGGTTCAGAGGGTGAAGGGGCTTGCTGCCAACCCTGATGCGCTGAATTTGGTTCCCAGGATTCATATGCTGGAAGGAAAGGGTCAATTCCTGCAGCTTATCCTCCAATCTATATACATGTGCTGAGGCACACATACACAGAGACATATACACACACAAAGTCACACATGATAATAATAACAAATTTTAGATGTGGGAAATAGCCCAGCTTGGTGGTTCAGGTATGTTACCCAACTACTTGTAGAGCTGAGACAGGAGAACTGGTGAGAGTTCAAAGCCAGCCTAGGCAATTTAAGTAAGACCCTTTTAAAAGTTTTTATGCTGGGTGTGGTGGCACACACCTTTAATCCCAGCACTTGGGAGGCAGAGGCAGGCAGATCTTTGTGAGTTCTAGGCCAGCCTGGTCTACATAGTGAGTTCCAGGAAAGCTGGGGCTACAAGGAGACCCTGTCTCAAAAAGACAAAAAAAAAAGTTATTTACTATTTTTGTTTTATGTGTATGAGTGCATTGCCTGCATGTATGTAAATGTACCCATGTCATGCAATGCCTGTGGAGGTCAGAAGAGGGTATCGGGTCCCCTGGAACTGGAGTTATAGACAGTTGTTAGCCGCCATGTAGATGCTGGAAACTAAACCCGGGTCCTTTGCAAGAGCAGCCAGTGGTCTTATCTGCTGCGGCATCTCTCTAGCCCCATAAGAGGCTTTCTTAAAGGGAAATGTGCAAGGTTCTCTGGGTTCCATACCTGGCTCAGAGGTAGAACCCCTATGCAGAATCCCCAGTGAGGGGCTGGGGGCGTGGCTCAGGGTAGAGAGACAGCCTAGAATCCCCAGGGGGGGGCTGGGGGAGTGGCTCAGGGTAGAGTGACAGCCTAGGATGGGGGGGGGCTGGGGGAGTGGCTCAGGGTAGAGTGACAGCCTAGAATCCCCAGTGGGGGGCTAGCCGTCTGTGTTCTCTCCATAGTGTACTCCCCACATATTACAAGGAGGTTGAATATGTTCTTCAGCAGAGGCTGAAAAGGAGTGGTTCTCTGCAGTTATTCTCCCTGCTATTTCTAGAAGCCCCTATAATCCTATAATCCAGATATTCTCTAGGCAGTTCACCATAGAGTAGGAGTTCCAAAGAAGGTCCTGAGAGAGTCATGATTCAGTTGTGACCCTGGTTATACACTCAACCCTCAAATTTCCATCCCAACTCTTCCCCAACCATCCCTAAAGGAAACCAGTGGCTGCAGAACCCGTGAGTCTCTGCAGGAATAAGGAGATTTCATTCCTTCGGCCTCCAAGCTTGCATTTGCACAAACTCCCTTTGGATTATTTGTTTTGTTTTGTTTTTATCTTTTAAGTCAGAGTCTCCCTGGAGTCCCAGATAAAACTCACTAGTAGGCCATGCTGGCCTCGATATCACAGAGATCTTCCTGTCTCATGAGCGCTGAGATTAAAGGTGTGCACCACCATGCCTGGCTGTTATAGTTTTGAGACCTGGTCTTCCTCTGTAGCCCAGGCTGGCCCCAAAGATATGATCCTCCTACCTTAGTTCTGAATGCTGAGATTACAGGCCTGTGCTGCCATGCCCAGTCTTAAATTTTAATTTTTTCAATACTTATTTATTTTGTGTGTATATGTGTGTATGGAGGTCAGAGAACAACGTTCTGGAGTCAATTCTCTCCTTTTACCAAGTGGGTCCTGGGGATGGAACTCAGGTCGCCAGGCTTGGTGGCAAGCCCCTTTACCCACTGAGCCATCTCACCAGTCTTAAAAGTAGATCTTTTTTTAACAAAAGAAATGGAACAAGTCAGGGTTTGAGGAGTGAAAGAGGAGTTGGCAGAAAGATTTTTTTTTTTTAATTTTCCCAAATGTGCTGAGTAATGAATGACTGCTTGTGGGGTGGACATTATATGTATATGGAGCTAGCTAGTGAATATTTCTAGCTTTGTGAACAGAACTCTTTCTAATATTTAGTGCCAACATGCTGAAAGGCAGAAAGCCAGGGAGATATGTAAATGAGCCTTGTGAGGCTGTGTACCAATAAAACTTTATTGGTAGCAGCCTGGTGTGGTGGTGACCCTGGGAAGGTCAGGCAGGAAAATGGCCACGAGTTTGAGGCCAGCCTGGTCTACATGAGACCCTGTCAAAAGGAGGATCGGTTTCTAGTGGATGGAAGCTTACTGCCTTCCTGCTCATGAGTGTGGGCAGTTTCACAACTTGAGACTAGAAATCTGTTTGTAGGGGAACCCCACCCCATGTTAGTCAGCACACCTGTGGGAACTGGTTTTTATCTAAGTAATCACCCTAACACACTAGATTTATATACAAAGTCTCCTGCATCACCTTTCACCACAACAAATAGATACATAAAATCAAACTTGACACACCATTGATAACATGTACAACCGGATGTATTCTAGTGAGATACTGCAGCTATTTAAGAGGGTGGTTTTAAAAAATACTTTATTTAGCTAGGTGTGGTGGTACAGACGTTTAACCCTGGGAGGTAGAGGCCAGCCTGGGTTACATAGTGAGTTCTAGGCCAGCTGGGGCTACAGAAAGACCTGTTTCAAAAAACCAAAAAAAAAAAAAATTAACTTTATTTTTATTTTATGCGTATGAGTGTTTTGCCTGCGTGTATATAAGTACATCCATGTGTGCAATGCCTATGGTGGCACATGCCTGTCATCCCAGCACTCTAGAGGTGGAGGCAGGAGGCTCAGGAGTTCAAGGTCATTCCTCAGCTACATTGTGACTTCTAGGCCAGCCTGAGCTATACAAGACTGTCCAAACAAACAAAGAAAAGAAGCTAGACACATGGGTCACTTGGTAAAGTGATGCTTGGGTTCGATTCTCCAGAGCACAGGTAAAAGGCCAGGTGTGAGGATTGCAGAGACTGCTCAATAGTTAGAACACTGGCTGCTCTTGCAAAGGATCCGGATTTGATTCCCAGCACTGACATGGTGGCTAACAGCCATCTGTAACTCCAGTTCCAGGGGATCCAATGCCCTCTTCTGGCCTCCAAGGACAATGCACACATGGGTGCACCTACATACATACAGGCAAAACACTTATACACATAAAATATAAATAAATAAAAATTTAAAAAACTCAGATGTGGCAGCACACAGTTACAATCCCAGTGCTGGGTCGGGGGGAGGGACAGAGAATCCCTGCATCATGCTGGCCAGCCAGCCGAGCCTACTTGGTGAGCACCAAGCTAGAAAGACACCATGCCCCCGCTCTGCATGCCCCAAAAAGGTGAATATTGACCAGGGAATGAGACCTGAGGTTACACTTTGGTGTATTCATGCAGATACATACACCCCAAAATAAAATAAACAGTATATTTTTGTTTGAGCTGTTAACTAAGACCATCTAGCAGAAATATCTTAATCTAGGCACAGCAATTTCATCAAAGCCTGCTAATGAATAATGATGAACAGATGGAAAACATGGCTTTGAAAAATAATCATTAAGGCTGGGCATGGTGGCACACGCCTTTAGTCCCAGCACTCTGGAGGCAGAGGCAGGCAGGTCTCTATGAGATGGAGGCCAGTCTGGTGTACGTAGTGAGTTCCAGGCCAGCTGGGGCTACAGGGGGACCCTGTCAAACAAACAAACAAACAACAGCAACAACAACAAAAAGCACACAAGCACTCTATCCACTGAGCCACAAGTGCTCTACCCTCTGAGCCCAGCACAATAAACATGTTTGAAGTCATGGTTAGTGTTTAAAACATTAATAGTCATTCAACAAGAACAAATGCGCTAAAGTTAACCAACCAGTGCTGGGTGATCCTGGGGTTACAAAGGGCTCAGTGTGCATGTGTGTGTGCCTGCGTGTGTACATGTGTATGTGCGTCTGTGTCTGTGTGTCTGTGTATCTCTCTGTGTGTCTGTGTCTGTGTGTGTGTCTCTGTAGCTAGAGGCAGGCACAAGGCAGCTGATGGTGGGATCCACAGTGATGGAGCAGGAGGCATGTGCTTGCTAATGAGGAGGAGTGGTAAAGGAAATTGTAATGTCAGGTGTTCAAGAACAGGATGGATATTATCTGAGAGTATCAGACCAAAGAAAAGGGCACATGCAAAGGCCCTGGGATAAGAAACTCCAGCCTGTTGGGAAACAGCAGGCAGCTTGGAAGACAGGGCTCAGGCTGCTGTGAGGGCAGGAGAGGAACACCTGCAGAAGCTTTGATGCTAAACTGGGGCTCCTGCCTGAGGATGCAGGGTTGCATCATGGGAGCGCCAGGGAACCCAAGCAGGTGGACT